TATATATATACACATATATATATATATACATATATGTATATATATATATATATGTATATATATATATATATATACACACACATATGGTGCCTCAAGGGAGGAAGTAAGGGGTCCATAATGGAGTTGAAAGTTTGTAATTTTACTCTTCTAATTGTTTGATTTAAGAAGAGTAGTTTTAATAAATAAATAAAAAAACTAATTTAAATTGAATAATCTAACAAATAGATTAAAAGGGATTGATGGCTATCAAGACGCTTTAAATTGAATTATGAAGTTTATAACTGATGCGAATGAAATATTTTGATATTCGACGGAGAGTGATCGAGCTGAATAAGGGGTGACCTTCTTAAAATTACTAGGTTTGACTTTATTGACATAATGGACTTTTGAGTCAATTTTCAGAGAAAACCTAGTCGTTAATTGGCTATTATGGTTTACTAATTGTAGGTCATCAGTCAGGGACGATTACTGGGCAACCTACGCAGGACTTGTCCTGAGATTTCTGATGTTGAGGGCCGAAAGCCAAAAAAATTCCCCTGGTATACAAAAAAGCAACGAAATTTACCGTTATTTAACTAGTGGTAACTACAATAAAGGTTAGTGTACAAAATTTACGTGGAAAATCTTCAAACGATTGACTTTTTAAAGTCATGAACATCTTCCAACCAATCTTGAACTTTCCACCACCGAGTATCTACTTGGACAAAAGAAAATTGTGTAACATACAACAAATCAATTAAAATAAAGACACGTTAAATACAACATATTGCTATAAATTGATAACGAGGCCTAGGATCACAATAAAGAAGTTGATTATGCATGTCTGTATTGTAAGATAATAAAATAGAAATTCTCTTGAAATGGAGAACATTATTCTTCAGGTTTTGAAAACACACTTTGAAACCTGATTAGACCTTCAATCTAATTTAATTCTGTCAAAATAGAAATTCTCTTGAAATTGTGTAAATATTCATCAAAACAGAGATCATAAAGTTGGCCGAGTCAAAAATACTTAACAACATAAGACCAATGTGATGGGCTTGTTGAATGATGGTAACGGGTATGCACGAGTAAGCCATATATATTATAGGTTTATCTGATTGTATATAGTTGTTAAAGATTTTCCCAGATAATGATTTTATCTTACTGAAATCGGAACTATAAAGAAACACTACAAACATGCTTACTTTGTATATTCAACAAATCAATGAAGACAACAACCTCACCTTAATCAAGCCACAAGTTTCCAAAATGTGCTTGTGCTCTAATGTGTTCTGCCATTGCTCCTCTTGAGCTTTTGCCTTATCCTGAATTTTCACATTCACAGGAGTAAGAGCTAATAAACAACAGTTGCAACAAAGTGTCTTGAGTAAGAGCTGATAAGGCTGGAAAGCAAAGGATGGGTTATTAAGAAAAAGAAAGATGATTCTTCATTTTGTTCCAATTCATAGTGTCTTGGGTAAGAGCTAACTAATTACATCTCACAATTGTCTTTCGGTTCAAAAAATTGCTGGTGCAAAATGGAGAGAGTAGTCTTTCTAGACTTTTGAGTACCAACACATTTACATAGCTTAACAATTAACGTGAATATGTTATGTAATATATCTCGCAACTATCTTACAGTTCAAAATTTGAGGGTGGAAATCTGGAAATCATAAATCCGATTGAAGCCTATGAAAGAAAAACTTACATGTGGGGCTAAAAAGTCAATCAAAGGTGAAATCAAATGCTTCAGTCGTGTCTGATTTTGGGATTCGGAACCCCTAAACAAGTGAGAGTCGAGATTCAAGAAGAGGGAATGGACGATTGTCGTTCGGTTGTTTGTTTAGTCGCTCAGATATGGCGTAATCAAGAGCATCTAGAGCAAAGTCGTAGAGGTAACCATAAAAAAATCCTCAACATGATCAACGAGAATCAAAGAGCGTAATCGGGAGCATTGAGGGCACCAGCTCGATGATGCCCTTTGGGCTTTTGCTGCCCATGGTTGTTGCCCTCACGGCCTATAGCCAGGGTCGACCCTGAACCTACGTAGTCAGGTGATTTTTCATGAGACTTTAACTGGAATGTATGCTTATGTACAAATTATTTGAGCATCATGTCATATTTGTGTATATGTTTATGGGTCTGATGCATGTATATGAGTTATTATTGTGGGTTGCATGTTGTTTGTTTACGTGTTTTTAAACATTAATTAGCATGTTATAAATAAATTAATATTTTTGTCGGGTATGAGAACGGGTCAAAAGTCATAAGGGATAACACATCCTAAGGATGGGTGGTCAAACAAGAGATATCTATGTAACCCGAGGAAGTGCCAATGACGATAAGACCTTAACCCAATGAAAAATTAGAATATCTCATTATAATTATAAAAAGGGTTTAAAATAAAAGTGCATACTGTTATTTGAGCATTTATTTGTTGTATAATGCATAATGGAACATGTATGTTGTATGCATGAAAACCATAAACTCATTGGACTTTATAAAGCTGATTATTAGCATACATCTTATGAACTGAAAGTTCAAAAACGTACAAAGACAAAGGTTTTACATAGGAAATAGAACTACGTTATTCAAATTGTGATTTATAAAATGCTTGGTATTTTCATTAAACTTATATGTAGCATAATCCGGTATGTAACATATTAGTTTTGAGATATTAATTACGATTAAATTATTGTAAGACTTTTACGATAATAAAACTTTATTAGTCGTTAGGTTTTGAATTTTTTTAATATTTTATTACATGACAATTTGTATTAGAAATGAGGGTGTTAATTCATAATAATAAATATAATTTAAATATCTATTATATTATTTATATATACATAAAATAAAATAAAAATGTTGATTTAATAACGTGTATGTTAATATTCTCCAAAGGTTTCGAAAACATTACATTTTTTGTTTGAGTTTTGATCACCGTAAAAAGCATGGTTCCGTTCCAAACACTAGTTGTCTATATTAATAACGACCACCGTAAAATACATGTACAACCACATTCTTTCACGCTATGCAACATCAAATTCAATAAACAAACGACTTGCTATCACTAATACTTGCTCACCAACATCAAATTCAATAATGCTTCTTGTTTATTTGCCGAACATTGATTTCCACCACCACACCCCTTTCGAGTCGGCCGGTGCATCGTCAGTCTCCGGCGCTGGGTCCGTTTGTGTCGTCTTCTTCAGTTTGCTCACATCATACCCTTCTTCCTTCGCCTTCTCCAACAGCTGATTGTATATCTCCTCATCAAGATGGTTTTGCCTGCTCAGTATCTACATCACACACCATACCTTTTAATTACATCACAACCCTCAAAATCAGGTTTAAATTTCAATAAAATTAAGACCAGATATGAGCATTAATTATAATTAATTAACGAAATTAAAAGCACAACAACACAAGAAATGAAGACATACCCAGAGATATCTCCTGGAAGGCTGACCGATTAAAGCATACCGATAATCATCATCAAGATACAAAACCCAGTAATCACCAGTAACAGGTATGATGGGGAGAAAGGGTGGAACGTAGAATTTGACCTTCAATTTGGCCTCATCACTCTTGGGATCAGCCTTATAAGCAGTTCCTTCGATGTATCCTCTCTTGCCACCACTCCAAGTCTCATTCAACACATTGATGGTGCCATCTTCGTTCAATTTGTATGTTGCCCTTGTGTTGATCCCATCTTTAGGCTGAAACCTGGATGGGAATGAAGCTATTTCGTACCATCTGCCCATGTATCTTTGTAGATCGACGCCCTTAACAACTTCCATCTCTTTGTTGGCCATGATATTGATCGAATGAAAGTAGGATGAGCAGAAAAGGGAGAGATGGTTGGGATTTTATATAATGGAGGGGTGTTGATAAGGGTGAGATGGAGGAGGGATAACCTCACAGCTGTTAAAGTGAACAATTCGGTGTAGATGATTCTAGAATCACGTAAGATATTTCTGGGCTTTCTTGGGAAATAATTTTATCCCTTTTCCCTCCGACACCATATTTCAAATCTTATAAATAATTATTCTGGGGTCCAATATCTAAATGCTTACCGTTAAGAGTCAATACTATAATTTATTTTATCGAATAAGATTGTAGTATATCAAAACGTATCTTATGCAACAATTTACATGATAAGTGCTTACCTGGGTAAGAGTCGTCACCCTCACTTACCGGGTAAGACTCTCAATTCTTATCATTGCTCTTACCGGGTAAGATTGTTGCCCCTTGCCATGTTCATCCGGTAAGAAAAATTGTCCAGTAAATACTTACCGGGTAAGCGTTAAGTAAACGGCTCCTTAGTTATTATTCCTAGGGTAGACAAAATGTAATGTAAAAAAGGAAAATTATGATAACAAGCATAAAAAGATATCTGAATCTTTAATTACTTTTAATTTCATGTTCATCCATAAATTGTACTTTAGAAGGTAATTGATCTAGTGCACCTCATTAACGTTCACATTCAATTATGATTGATCCAATGATGTAGATCTCATCTTACACTTTTCAACATTACTTTTTTTCTCACAAGAACTCAACCGTTCTCGTGCATGTAACGATATTATTTAATTATTTCAAATAGACATTGACCAAGGATCGTGTGTGAATAGAGTTGACGTAATAAAAGATATCGACCCTTGATCACTTTTAATCTTACCCTTGAGCCTATGAATCACACTTATTATGGGAATTGATCTGACACATCTCGTTAATGTTGAATTTCAATTAAAATTGATCAAGGACGGGAATCATTTCTTACCTTTTTCACCATAACTTTTATGCTCATTGGAACCTAACCCTTTAGACATTAATCTACATTATGTTATATAGCATCTAGGTTAAAACCATATCGGACTTGATCGCTTTTGAAGATTCCGTGACGCTTTTCAATCTAAAAGAATAGGTATGACAGGTGTGGCACTTGCAACATTCTGTTGGCTTTGCTTCACGTATCTCGACCGGTGTTCTTGCGTTGTGCACGTTTTGGTTGAGTATAAGATAAGCGTTGAGCTCTAATAATACAACAAAATACTTCATAAAATTGATAACTAACAGAAAACTTTTTTTTTTCTCTCGGAACCACATAAATTTATAAAATAAAATAGAAAAAGAGTACAAATCCATATCTTTCAAGCCTGTTTTCAATAAACATAAAGACCTCAACTGGTTTTGGATTTTAGGGACGAAAGAGGGTCTTGCTAGACTTTTCAAGATTAATATGGGTTTTTTGTTACGACTTTTAATTGAACTTCGAAGAAAACCTAGACCTAAATCCGAGGGCTCTGAATTTGGCTATTTTATGCATATTCAATGGTTTTCCATGAATTGACATGTCTATAATTATGAAATGTTTGAATTTAAAAGACGTGTTTTTTTAAAACAATCAACAATAATTATCATTAAATTAATTTGGGTGGATGAATAGATACAACGTTGACACAAAGGTCTTGCTCAGAGTGTGAAGAAATAAACCACTCTCTTTACGACTTTTTTGTTTGTTTTAAAATTACCTCTTAATATCTTTAAAGTCTGATTCGTTTACACGTTTGAGTGTTAAGAAAGGTTTTTTTTTTTTCTAAAATAAGAGCTTAAAAGCTCTAAATGTCCTCTGAAATTTCAAGTGGTAAACATATCCCTTAATCTATATATCCCTTAATCTATACTATATTATAAAGCATTTGACAAAAACTCTTAAAAATTATTTTTTATGCATAAAATACAAATTATTAATGCATGTTACTTAAAACTCAAAAATACAATAAATTGTGCATAAGTACAACTTATTAAAGCTCTATATCTGAATTCGTGTAACTAACTGAAGATAAACATAATCAAATATATGATAAATATCTCATTTTAAATATAAAAAATATAAAATATAAATAGGATAATTATTGAGTTCTAACAGAATACTTATTATCTTTATAAAATGTTATATTATTTTTATATTATATATTATAAAGTATTTGACAAAAACTCTTAAAAACTATTTTTTATGCATAAAATACTGTTTATTAATGCATGTTACTTAAAACTCAAAAATATAAATAGATTGTGTATAAGTACAATTTATTAAACTTCAACAACTTTTTTATTTTAGAGTTTTCAACATTAATTAATAATTATATTATTATAAAATATTCAATAACATAACAAAAATACTTGCTTTTCTTTTCCATTTAATTTATTTGGTTGATTAAAAATAAATACTTTATAAAGTAACAAAATGGAATTTTAAAGAAAAATTAGTTTCTCTTCTATTTTTTCCGTTTTACAGAAGCCGTTAAGCAAAAAAGTACTAAAAAAACTCCATTTTGGAGAAGTAGCGGAAGATTAAGATGCAACATCCAAGTTTGAAAGTTGGGTGGTGTGAGGCTCAGATCTGTTATAGAAATGAATTAGAATGATGCAAAAGGGATGAAGCACCGCCATGGCTGCAATAACACCAGTTGCATTCACATGCCATCTGGTTCTCGCTTATATATTGCCCCGCCAAGATACGGCTTCACTTTCTCCGATGCACCATTTCTATATATATGTATGTATGCTCAATCACAAATCGCATCTTCATCGCCTCTCGATAATAAAAACAAACAACATACCTGAAGCTCGGCGTTTCTTCATTTTTATATATTTATTTTTGTTTTTTCAGTAAAGGGCTGTTGATTTGTGAGGAATCAGAATCAGATGATGAAATCATGGGCTCACATATGAATTGAATTGAATTGAATTGAATCGAATCATATGGTGGCAAAGGAGGGGCAACCACCCTCAAGAAACCTCTCAATCTCCCTCGCCGGAGTCTCAATCGTTGATGAGCATGTTTAGATCTGAATCTGATCCCTAATTTTTCTATTCGGAATCGCATCTCATCTCTTTTATCGTGGCACATACTTTCCTATTATTACCCCTGTTCTTTGTATGTATTTACAGCTCAATAAAACAAGGGGTGTTATGGTAACTTTACTCGAATGAAAACGCTCTAAATTTAATACTAATTATACTTTATTCATTGCTAGTTGCATGGGTGCTCAAAAACCCGATCAACCCGATCAACCCAATCCAATCTAACACGAAATAACCCAATCCGATCTAACACGAAATAACCCAATCCGATGTCTAATCGAGTTATAAAATTGTCAAACCGTATGTATTGAGTTGATATTAGGTTACTATTATTTGAACCCAACCCAACCCAATGAACCCGATCTTTTTATTTCTTAGATTTAATATGATTGTTGAATTTCTATTTATATATACATTAGACAATTACACTATCATATATGATTTTCGTATGTTTTCAATCTATTCGTATCTCTATATAACTCAATCATATATATGTTCAGTAACTGTGAACATATATATATATATATATAAATTGAGAAAATTAACTGAATGGTTTATACGTAAGAAATATGGATAAATTGTATCAAATGGTTGATGATGAAAAAGAAATTATGAGTAGAGAAATAACATATTCAAGGTTAAAWGAATATTTTAATATACCAAAGTATCAACCCGACCAACCCGTACGGGTTGGGTTGCACTTTGGTTTGGGTTGGGTTAAGATTTTTCCAAACTACAAGCATTGGGTTGAGTTGTTCAAATGTCTTCAACCCGATCAACCCAACCCATGAACACCCCTAGCTAGTTGTGTACCCGTGTAATGCGGCGGGAGCCGTGAATTTTAACGATTTTGAAGTTTCACTGGTTTTATTAGAAAAGATTTAACGATAATATAGTTTACACTTGGTCTTTACATATTAATACAATTTGAATATTAAAAGTTATGGTTCCAAATACAGTCTATCGATGAAAAAAATTGTATGATAGTTTAAAATCCAATATATTTAAAATCCAACATATTTAAACGACTCCACAAATGTATTAAATTTGCACAAAAAACAAAGAATCAAGAGATCGAGAACGAGACCGAGAGTTCTAGAGCAAATTAAATGAGAGAACTTTTAATAACTCATGGTGAATATCAATTTGAATCTCACCTTGGGGGATGGGGAGAAGACATAGAAGTATGAGAGGGTAGTGAAAGATTTCAAAAGTATCTTGGAAACATGAAAAGAAAATGTAATAATGTGCATTGGTAATTTGTACTATATGTTATTTTAATTGTAGATTGAGGGATTTTAAGACTGAATGCATAAAGTAGTAGTACTTAATGCATTATGAGTTGTTTTTAAAACTTTGTGCATAAATGTATAGTTCTTTGTACATTAAAAATTGTTTTTAAGAATTTTGATAAACCTAGTTTATATAAAGTAATATAGATTAAGTCTCCTAAAAACATATTATAATTGTGTGTATAATATGATTCATTTTCTTGCATTTGATGCTAAGGTTACATAAAATAGGAATTCATTAAATCATACAAAAGCCTAAATAATTGGTAACAAGTAGCATTAAAAATATCAATAAGTTTGATACTATAACTATTATTAGTTTTAAAATACGAGAAATCAAATAATAAAGGTGCACAAGGAGCGGATCTTAACCCATCTTAAAAAGAACAGTCTTTGTAGTGAAAAACACTTGGCAAAAGACTAGGTCGACCTGATAATTGGTCGAAAATTTAGGACCAAATCCGGATAGAAGGTCCTAACCAGTCTTTAACAGAGCCTTAACATGCTTTTTATGTCAAAAAATTTGTTATAACAGTGAAACTAGATCGATGGACCAAAAATAAAAGTAGATGGGAGGAAGGGTTAATGCACGAAATTACCCCTCACTAAGAGCACTCTAACTGACAGCATTATTAGGAGCGACCATACATGTTATAAAAACTAAACTATAGAAATGTTCTTCATTAAATTATT